AAAAAAGGAGGGGATTTTCCAGTGTGAACTTTTAACAAAGGGAGTTCTCACTTTTACTTGTCAAAGACTATCAAAGACTACTTGTTGAATACTAAGGAAGAGACCTGCCTGACTCGCAAGTGCAAGTTTCCGAGTTCAATTCCTGGTACCGGAAAAAAAAAAAGGAAGGGATCTTGTATCTTTTTCTGGATAGGGTTTATACAAGGTGGACACGGTACGTTGAAAAAATTCCTCAAACTATTCATAGAAGAGTCCTGTAGCTTATGTTGAATTTCTCTCAACAGTTTAAAAGTCAGCAGAGCGGTTATGACAGAGGCCATGCCCACATCCAGCACGTTGAACAGATGTCCTGGGGTGGTGGGTGGGAGGCTCCTGGCCAGGCTTTGAGAAAACTGAGCTAAGATTGGGTATATCCCTGACCAGGGCACAAAGATGCTTCTGGCCCTGCGGGAAGTGACACCTCCAATAGGCCAGTCCTCCCGCCCTCCGTTTTTGGTGCATCCTGTGGTCAACTCCAGCTCCCTGGTCTACATCGGGGAGAAAAGTTTCACTTTCCAATAGCAGGACTTTGGTGACGGGAAACAACAACACAGCGACTTTCAACCCACGCGGGAGTGGACAGTGAGTGGCTGTTCCCCTCCCTCATCTGCCCGGTGGGAGCATTGCTAGAATGGGGTCTCTGGGGACACTACGGAAATCCATGCAGAAGGTGAGTCTGCGAACAGCAAGTCGCTGCCATGGCCCTGACTTCCATGTCCGCCTGGCCGGCTTCCACCCCTTCACAGCATGCCCCGGGGAGGGCGCCGCACTTCCGAAATGGCCAGAGGGTCTCTTGTTCCGGGCAGTCGCCCCAGCCCAGCGGTCTAGAGCAAGGCGCTGTCCCCCAGCGGGATGAGGACCGTGTTAGTGTGTCGAGGAGGAGAATTTCAAGCACTTACTTTCATCATTAGAAACATTGCCCAGAGATGCGTGGCTGGAATAACGTTTGTTTTCACTTTCATTGAGACATCTTTCAATCCAGCTCTCTAAAAAACACAAAAAACAACAGAAAAGAAGTCACGGGATTGCTGCGTCTGGAAGGAGACAGGAACATCACAAAAGCAGTTCATCTACAGCTCAGCAAGGCCCCAGGACGCCCCAGAGTGGAAGCGGCGGTTACATGCACCCACAAGCCGCATCGCGGAGATTAGGGTGGAGGCCATGGGGCCGTCAGGACCTCCACTTGGGTATCCCCTGGTCCGGTTCTATGACTTCTGGAGAATTCTGAGACCCCTCCTACCAAATGGGGATTATCTTCCTTTGCAAAGAAGGTATATTCCTGAGAAGTCGTTCAGAAAACACAACTTGGTCAACTGAATCATTGGCGCTGGCTTGCAAACTCGTTTACTAGCAGAATCTTTTCTTCAAATAAAAATGAAAGAAAAGCAAACAAAACCCTGGAGAGGCTGGTTGAATGGAGGAAGGCAGGCAGTCGCCTTCCCCATCCAGTGACCCCAGCATGACCGGAGGCCACAGCGGGAGAAATCAACAGCTCTAGAGGAGCTCTGTAGCACCTTTAAAACCCAAAGGCTATAGTTTTTCTGTCCAGTTTCAAAGGCTGCTGACACACTTTTACAATGAAGCCATAATGCTCATTTCATTTTTAGACCACTCACCATTCATTCATTCATTCAACAGCCACGCATTCTGGCACAGGTGGTACATTAGAGAACAGTTTGAGCACAGTGCAAATGTCGTGTCTCCTTGTGCTCCATTTGTCCATGAGAAACACTAGGTAAATGCAGAGAACTACACGGATTGGAACTGCACCCCACAGGAATGTGCGAAATGCACACCCACCTCCTTTGGTGTCCTAAGTGGCGCCCGCTCACATAACTGCTTTCTGCCTCTCGGTGGTAGTGAGGGAGCTACAACTTTGCTGACACCCGCTTTCAAACTCAGCCTTCTGCCATGCCCAGGGTGAGGCACCATTGCTGCCGTATTTGGGCAGCTTGTCGGCATTTAACGTGTGCAAAACTCTGGGGCTCCTACCTTTTTGTGTCCTGGACAACGTATTTGAGCATTGTACCCTCAATTTGTTTTGCCAGTGAACTCCTGTTTTCTATTGTGCAATTTTGCAGACAGTACTGCTCAGGAAAGCTGATGCACCAAGATGGCGAGATTAGGAAGATGATCACCGTGCACTTTTGAGCGAGACTGTCTCCCACTGGCTTCTGGGTAATACGGGAGCTGGCATGGATTATTTTAACATATGTTCCCTCTTTGAGTCCTTGCAACTCTTGGAAGCAAGGATTTTAATCTCTATTTTTCCTAGAAAGCAACTGAGGCACAGAGGGATCAAGTAAAGTGACCCCTCGTAATTCAAAGAGCCAAGGAAAGGATCACTGGTTAGCACGCAGGTCACAAACTGCAGGCAGAAAAAAGCCAGGCGGTGGATTTGCTACCCAGTGAGGAAAAGCACACGCAACAGCACCAGCAATGAGAAGTGTTGGGTGTTTCGTGTTGTTTAATATTTTCTGTTCCAACAAATATTCTTTTAAAAGCTGCTTCCAAAATTGTAAATAAGTTGGGGGAAGATAGCCAAAGAGCGGAACAAGAGCCAGCTTGTTAGGAGGATATGGAAATCTGGTATTTCCGAGAAAATACTGAGGGGCAGAGAAGCTGAAAACATTAAAATGCACCCCCCTGCAGATATGGAGTGCACAGTGTGGACACACCAGCCGGGAATGCTGGGAAGCTGGGCTGCAGGCCCCTCTGCCTCCCAGAGGGCCCCTGACTGCATCTGCATAGTCCCCTCCGAGTTCCTGAAGGGGTCAGTTCTTGCAGTGAGAGCCCCGAGGAGCGGTGGCCACAAGGGACTCCTGGCCCCGGCTGGAGGACAGCCAGCTCTGAACACAGCCAGCTCCGGCTGTGTGGTACCTGCCCGCCAAGGTTCGAGTCAGTAGGGGCCTCCCTGGGCTCCTGCTTCTCCAGTGCACCCCAGCCAGCACTGGAGGGAGCACGGCGAGGGTACAAGGCCAGGGAAGTATAGCACCATGAGGAAGGCTGGGAGGACCACTCGCCGAGCACCCTCTCTGCCACCCGCTGCTCCCACACAGGTCTCCCTGCCCCAGGCCTTTGGTGTAGCCCCATGGCTCCCCACAATGCTGGGGAAGGGTCTCGGCGGCACACGGAGGACATGGCAAGACCCCCGTCGTGTCTCTTCTTCTGGTCAAAGTGCTCTACTCGCTTCAGCTCATTCTTGGAAGACCTGCCTCCTGCTTCTTCGCCATCTAATCCAGTTGTTTCTGGTGCCTTCTGATTTGTCTGCGTCCAGACAGGCATCTGGCCTCCAGGACAGACTCCGAGGGTCTGGACGGATGCGTGAAATGTGCTGAGTCTGGTGAAGCCGCCACCTGAAGCTCTTGTGCTATCAAGGGTCGGTGTTCCAGGCTGTGTGTGTGTGATGCAGACGTGTCCCACAGCCCCTGGAGCCACAGGTGCATCAAGACATTTGCCTTCTTCCCTAGTGGGGTCCTCAGCAGGGCATCTGCTGCTCGAGTCCCAGGTGCCAGGTTGCTCCATACTACACTCCAGGAGGCCTCTATGCAGGTCAACTGAGGGACAGTTCGTGCACTTTAGAACGATCTTCAGCAATTACTCAACCAGAATGACGCATGTTGACTTCTGGATAAAGTCCTGTGTTCTGCTGCCTTATTTATTTGATCATATGATTTAGTAATAGGAAAGGCCACCATCTATCACACACTTAGGATGGTCAGGCATTGTACAACCTGTTACATGCAGTAACATTTAGATCCTATTATAACCCTATGAGGCAGAGGCTGCTAATAGGCACCTTTTTTTGAGACAAGGTCTTGCTACGTGGTTCAGGCTGGCCTTGAACTCAGTGATCCTCCCAATTGTTGGGATTACGGGCATGCACCACAATGCCCAGCTCTTAATAGGCACATTTATAGATAAGAAAACCAAGGCTCAAAAGATTAGGTCCAGCTGGGGACTTAGCTCAGTGGTTCTGGCACCTGCCTCGAAAGTACAAGGTCCCAAGTTCGATCCCCGGTACCAAAAAAACACACACACAAAAGATTAGGTCCAAAGTCACCCAGCTAGTAGGACACAGGATCAGCACTCACCCTGGAGTCATAACCGCAGTGCTCACTGAAGTGTGAACTGAGCTCCCTCTGTGTCCTGCGCAGTCCCTAGAACACAGGATGCAGCGCAGCCGGCCTTGTGTTAGCATTTCTCTACCCCTCTCCCATGTTGTAATTTTGCTGAATTCCTTTCCATACTTCTTCATCAGTCTCGCATCTCCCGAAGGCGGCTCATTTGATTCTTTCTTTGGACTCCCTACCACTGTGTGGGATGAAGCAGTGGTGGTGAACCGATGGCACACGTGCTGCAATGGGCTGTTTGTATCACTGAAAGCTCTGAAAGGTTCGCCATCGCTGGTAGAAAGGGTTCCTGTGGCCTGAGCGATGTCACCTTAGTGACAAGCATGATGTAAGCGAGGAACACGAAGTGTGTAAGTAGACCCACCTGACAGCTGTAGCGTTTCTTAACTGTTTTCTTCCTTATCAAGTAGAAAGTGTGCCACACATCAATGGTGATTTTCCAAATGCAACAAATATCTCTTTTGTACCTTCTAGAAACAAGAAGCTGCACTGAAGAGAAGCCGTGGGTGACGGAGGCACGAGAAAGCCTGGCCCCTCCCTCTGATCACCGTCCAGAAAGCGGACAGGCTGCTTCCTGAGCTCAGGCAGACATGGCTTGTCACCCTGCCCTCCTTCCTGCACACAGGGCCCACGCTGTGGCCAGCCTCTGGACGCGCCTGGTACAGATGTGCTGTTGAACATGCTACACTTCTCCAGAACAACATGAAGCCCCTACTGTGTGCAGTGCTGGGAAAGGCATCTTCCCACGAAAGCTTCCCAAACGAAACCTCAGAACAACACTGCATGGTGGTTTTTTGTTTTGTTTTTTTGGTACTGGGGATCAAACTCAGGACCTTGCGCTTTCAAGGCAGGCTCAGTGGCACTGAGCTAGATCCCTGGCCCTGCATGGTGTGTTTATTATTGCTTCTTAGAGGTCTGGGAGCTCGGGCTCTGATGCCAGGGCTCCAAAGCAAGGCGGCCTCGAGGTTGGCACTGTGTTCCTGGCGGAGAAGGGGCACTCAGCTCCCGCATAGATTACTTCTCCTTCCCAGCTGCCTCATTTGAGATCCTCCAAAACCATCTGACCTTTCGGTAAGAACCAAGCTCTCTCTAGATGCCGGAAGGATTTACAGATGGCTGTGAGCCTGGGCTCCAAGAACGGCACACGGGGAGGAGGAGGCAGGTGATGCATATGGATTTTCACCAGGACTTAACCCATGTCCTTCGGGACAGAGCTTCTTTACTTGCCTCTTCGCTTTGGGTGGAGGACTCGGAAGCCTCCATCTGAAGTGATTTTCAGTTTCACATACTGTAGTGCATTTGAGCAGGGCCATGTACATTATCGGGTTTTCTAGGAAGCTTTGTTCCCTGTGTGGCAACAAAGAGCACCCAGGAAGTGGCCACACCCAGGACTCAGCAGGTCCAAGATGGTCCAAGGCTCAGAGCGGTGCCTCACGAACATGCATTCATTTGGCAAACAGAGCCGATAGAGATCATCATCTAAAGCCAGGCGGTCTTCGAAGTTTGCGGAGCATGGTCCCAGGGATCTGTTAGACTATCCATTCGTTTTGCAAATAATGACCAAGTGCCTTCAGTGTCAACTTCCAGCAGAAGGGATGCACAAAAGCTGCTCAACAGGAAGCCAATATGGTACTGCAGGATATCTCTGGTGGACCAGGGTCTCAAGACCTAAAACTATCATGCTTGTTGATTTTTCTATCGTACATCTTCCTCACCCTTAACGTGAAGGTGGACAACCTTATCTGTCTCACTGAGTACCTGGTCCCTGAGAGCCTAGAACAGCGATGGGCACATAGCTGGTGGTGACGACTGCGATGAAGCAAAGCAAAGTCGGATAAAGGGCAGAGACAGAC